ATATATAATCCAATATATAGAGCTAGAGTCAAATTTTTTTTATTAGGGTGGGAATACTTTAACTGCAAGANCAAAGTTCATCATTGTTTAGAGCCTGATATTATTTGAAATATTTGGGATTATTATCAATTTGATATATAATCCAAAAAAATTCGGTTCAAATCTCATTGCTAGTGTGGCTGCACCGTTATTCTGTAAATGATGAGTTCATATTGTATATAGAGCTAGAGTCAAATTTTTTTTATTAGGGTGGGAATACTTTAACTGCAAGATTCAACTTTTCTAATGGGGGGCATCGTTTGCTACTGGTGGCTTTGAGGGCTTGCTGTGTGTGAGCGAGAGAGAGAGAGAGAGAGAGAGGAGCAGCGCACACACTTGTTTCTGTATGTGTGTGCTGCTCTCCTCCTGGTCCCTTACTGCCTCAGTCCCTGGTTGAATGAGTATGCCTCAAGACACTTATTTTTAAGTGTTCTCCANTCCCCTCCTGATCCCTTACTGCCTCAGTCCCTGGTTGAATGAGTATGCCTCAAGACACTTATTTTTAAGTGTTCTCCAGCTATAAGCATATCATATAGAAAGGTATTTGTTCGAATTTGAAATAATTGATACTTTAACACTTACATCTACACATTTTTGCCCCTTTTGGATCTTTTGTGTTCTTTGTTGATTATTTCTCTATCTAGAAATAGAGCCAAAAAATTGAGTTGTAAATTTATAAATGATTGACTTGGATGGTTGTGGCCCCAGCCCATAGTGGTAAAAAAAATCAAAACATCGTCTTGTTTGTTTTAAAATTTACTAAATCCGACCAACATGGCCTTCAAAACGTTTTAAATGCCAATATTATTCCCATACCTTTTTTTTTTTTCTCATATTGATATAGTTTTAAGGATTATCTAAATTCCATTTTTTAGTCAAAATAAGCCATTTTTATTAAAAATCTCCCATTGGTCTTCTTTTCATTTTGAAATAGTCTGAGGGTAGTAAGAAAATAAACTCATTAGTTATGAGGTTTCATTATAATTTCTTCAAGCAATAGGCCCAAGACGTGAGGCTCCTAAATATAAGTAATACTACATGAATTTTTTTTAGAGACCTCATTTTCTTTGACACACCTACCCAAGAGCACAACTAAGGAGGTATGTCTTTCAAGTAGGGGTGTAACTCGGACAGGTTAAACAATCAATCCTAATTTAATTCTAAGTATATAATCTTTAACATTAATCTTAATCCTAACCCTACTTCAAGTTGGGAAACTCAACCCGAGTTTAATTTGGACAGACTTGAGTTGAATTAGGGTTGAAAATTGACTTGTTGTTCTAAACCTATATATATATATATATATATTCACCTAAATTAACAACCAATAATTTCAACCAAGTTTTTAACAAAAAAGACAGAGAACGATAGAACAAAAATAAAAAATCAATGCTAATACTTTATATATATATATATATATATAATTTTTTTTTTAATTTGTCAGATTTGAGTTGAACTCAGGTTCACGAGTCCTTAACCTGAGCCCAACTCAAATTAAATTCGAGTTGGAGTTTTTCTNGCTTTATATATATATATATATAATTTTTTTTTAATTTGTCAGATTTGAGTTGAACTCAGGTTCACGAGTCCTTAACCTGAGCCCAACTCAAATTAAATTCGAGTTGGAGTTTTTCTGACTAAAGCTCAACCCAAGTATTAAAAACCCTTACCTAAACCCTAATTTTTTTGAGTTGGGCTCGAATTGAAATCGAGTTGTCCAACTCAAATTGTACCCCTACTTTCAAGTTTCTTTTCTTTTCTTTTCTTTATTCGGCCCGCGAACATCCATTTTCAAAGGCGTTTATTATTATTATTATTATTATTATTTTTAATGTTGAAGTTAAAAGATGTGACTGATTATTAAGTACCTGCAAGTATAAATTCTTGGCTGCTAACAAAATTATTATTATTTTTTTATCGTAAGATGTTTAGATTTGTACCGATTACTCCTACTAACTTTTATCGGGTGTGATAAATAATTAAATTAGGAATTTTTGAATTATCTAAGACAAGGCTATACCACTCAACCACCCCCGATGGTCAACAAAATTATATATTCAGACTAGGGGGTGCAACTTGGGTTGGGCAACCTGAGCTCAACCCGAAAAAATTATGGATTGAGCTAGGATTTTTAATACTTGAGTTGGGCTTGAGTCAAAAAAATTCAACCCGAATTCAATTTGGGCCGGGCTCAGGTTGAGGCATCCCGAACCCGATAATTTAAAAAATTTATATATATCTATATAATAAAATAGAACGATTTTGAATTCANAAAAAAATTATGGATTGAGCTAGGATTTTTAATACTTGAGTTGGGCTTGGGTCAAAAAAATTCAACCCGAATTCAATTTGGGCCGGGCTCAGGTTGAGGCATCCCGAACCCGATAATTTAAAAAATTTATATATATCTATATAATAAAATAGAACGATTTTGAATTCAAGAGACAAAGAACGGTTCAGATCGTTTCGAGATCAAAAAAGGCATCATCCAACGGCTGACGATATTTCAAACTGTTTCAAGCTATTGACGTCTCAGATCGTTTCAATCCGACGTACCATATTAGCTCTTAAAAATTTTTTGCCGCTCAAAACTCTTACTTTCCAAAACTAACATCCATAAATTTAATTCTCCAACCCAATCAAATCTNTAAAGTGTTTCAAGCTATTGACGTCTCAGATCGTTTCAATCCGACGTACCATATTAGCTCTTAAAAATTTTTTGCCGCTCAAAACTCTTACTTTCCAAAACTAACATCCATAAATTTAATTCTCCAACCCAATCAAATCTGACAATTAAGCGATCTCTTATCCCTCAAACTCTGTCTCTCTCTCCCTAAAATACAAATTACAACTCTTATCATTATTTCCCTGATTTTATTTCCTATGTTAAGGGATCACTTTCTATACTAAGACATTGTCTGTCCTTCACACTCTCATCTTTCATGATTTTCTTTTCAAACTGTGACACATGTCTCCTCAAAATTTTATTCTAATGCAGTTGTTTTCTATCTTTACTGTTCATATCACACGCACATCTTTACTGTACATATATATAGTACAAAGATCAAAGACATATTATATATACATGTTATATCTTAAGGAAAGTTTTATCTAAATACCACGTAATTTCAATAATAATATTATTCCAATGAATTTTTTATTTTAAAACGTTGTATTATAACTTTGTTATAATATTAATCATCATATTATCACTTATTTGGTTACATAATCAAGTTTTTATAGTTTTTACAATTAAAAATAATTTTTCAATAATAAAAATAACAATTGATAAAGTCAATGTCAAAATCNAATGAATTTTTTATTTTAAAACGTTGTATTATAACTTTGTTATAATATTAATCATCATATTATCACTTATTTGGTTACATAATCAAGTTTTTATAGTTTTTACAATTAAAAATAATTTTTCAATAATAAAAATAACAATTGATAAAGTCAATGTCAAAATCTCATCAATTTCTAATTCCTCTGCTATCACATGTCCTTCACAACGTCGTCTCAATGCTCTTCACATATCACACTTTATATATAAAATTTAAAATTATTTGATAAAATTTAATATTAATTGAATAAATTTGATCTTAATTTTGATAAATTTAAATATTAATTTAGTTTTAATTTGATAAAATTAAATATTAATTTAGTATTAATTTGATTGAATTTAATGTTAATTGAATAAATTTGAATGTTGTTTTAATAAAACTAAATGTTCATTTGGTGTTAAATTAAAGAAATGACATTAATTTGATAAGGTTAAATTTTAAATTAATGAAATTTAATAAATTAAATATTTTTATTTAATAAAATTGAATTTCAATTTGATGTTGATTTGATAAAAATAAATAATAACTTAATATTAAATTAAAGAAATAATATTAATTTGATGAAATGAAATATTAAATTAATATAACTAAATGCTAATTTGATAAAATTAAATATCAATTTTGTGTTGATTTGATGAGATGATATGTTAATTTAGTTTAAATTAAATAAAAAAAATTAATTTGATAAAATTGAATATTAAATTGATGAAAATAAATGCTAATACAATAGAACTAAAAGGGAGTGTATTGAAATTTCATAATCAATAAGGGATGTTGTTAAAGTTAAGTCTATTTACAATAGATGTTGTTAAAGTTATGTTTACTTATAAATGGTGTGGATAAAATTTATCTTATAAAATACTTGAAAATATTTTTATAAATCAACCATCGCCATTAACGGTGTAATCTGACAATCACTAATAGGGAGTGATAGTGAAATTTCAAAATCGAAAAGAGGTGTCATTGAATTTAGACCTAATTACAGGGATCTGAATAAAATTTTCCCTTATATCTATACAAATCTATATAATAAAACACACAGGATGTCGAATTTTATCCTCCCATCTCCCAAAACCATCACATCACTCATTTCTATCGCATGCTCAACCATTTAATATTTGATTAATTTGTAATTTAACATAATTTTTATTTAAAATATTATCCATACATGATAGTATAGATCTGTTAAAAAAATTTATCGAATTACATATTTTGAGAAAATTTGTCAATATTTTTAAGAAAATAACGGGTAAAAATAAATTTTGAATGATTTAATCAAACAAATGAAAGAAAAAAAATTTATTTAATATAGTGATATCGATTTTTTAAGACTCAAATTTTTTGATATAATCGATATTGAAATTTTTTTTTTTTATGTTTATGATTTAATTTTAAATATGAATATAAATATATTTTTTATTTTTTATTTTTTATTATTCTATATTTTCAGAAAATATCGAGTTAAGTGTATAACCGTCACCGTAGTATTAAATATTTAGTCACCGCCAGTGTGAGGCGTTGTTTTGGAGTTGTATCCGCGTAAAATGATAGCATCGGGGGGCCAACCGACCGAAATCAACGAAAAGGAATTCCGCAAGACACGCCCTTAGTTTCCTTATTTAATACACGGGATATCAGGCCAGCACTGCTGTGCTGTGTGCCACTTTCCCCTTCTCTCTCTCTCTCTCTTTCTCACACATTCATCTTTTACAGTCCCTCAACTTTCAAACCCTAGTAAATGGCAAGATTAATCTTGCTCTTTGCTCTATGTGTTCTACCGGCGATTGTCAGTGCCCGCTTTGAGGCCAACCCTTTCCTCGTCCGAGGCAAAGTCTACTGTGATACTTGCCGCTGTGGCTTCGAGACCCCTGCCACCAAGTACCTCGCTGGTATTCTTTCATCCTTCCTCTCTCTCTCTCACACACACACACACATTACTAGTTGATAGATGTTGTGATCTGGTAACCTGGCTTGGCTTTTATTAATGGTTTTTGTATAACTTGAAATTCAACCCCCCAAATTTTGTTTATTAAAACAGTTTGTAGTCATCCTAAATACCAAGTTTTTACTGGATAAGCAAAATGTGGTGTGGATTAGTTTTTTACCATGAAGAAGTCTCAAGTTTGATTCCTGCATTCTTGATAGAGAGTCAGTCTGAAACACATCTATTATATGATCATGTGTATAGGTACATTGCGGTATTGTTATGAGTCCAAAGACCCTTTTTTTGCTATAAAATCTAAATATTTGTTCTGGATTTGATGGTAAGGTTGCTCAACCCTGAAATGGGTATCAGGATTTTAGTCACGAAAATAGTTTCTCTTCATGTGGAGTAAGATTACGTATTGACCCTCTCCATATTCCGCAATGGCTAGGCGGTTGCCTTTTTTATTTGATGGACTATGTTCCAGCACTTTTATACATTCTGATCTCATAATTTGGTTGGAAGTGGTGAAGTTAATTGCTAGGATTACTACCACTTTTGTTTAAATGGACAAAGATCTGGTCATTCAACGTGCATTGAAGATCTAATTGGTCCAGGGTGGGTACTATTATTGATTGTTTACTACGAGATTGTGGCTTAGTAGTTCATTTTGCAATACATTTCTGTACAGTTGTAAAGGTTGCCATATGGTCATGTATTTCTTTGTCAGTTTGATCTGAGAACCTAAAATTAGAATATAGTGCCCAAAAATTATTCACTGAATAAGATAGCCTGCTAGACTAATTTATCACTAACGCCATGGTATTTACAAAAATATCAATGCCCACATATTTATGTAGGGAATCCTTGTTAGAAATATCTTTCTGTAAAGTTTTTTCCGAGATAGTCGGAACCAAAGAACAAAAGCAATGTGTGGTAACTGGCGACTTAGTTTCCCATCAATTTCATCTGATCAAGCATCAAATTCTATTCCTTATTCTGAATGGTACCATTACATTGTTCTTGATATGCTATTAATGTTGTTCCATTTTTTTTTCCTTGCAATTGTTTCTTGGTCTTGGTTTTTTGTTCAAAAAGATGTCATGTGAACATGCTACTTTAATAATTACTGTTTTATGATTGTGTTTTTTAGGTGCAAGGGTGAAAATTGAGTGTAGAGACAGGGCCACCCAGGCACTCAAATACAGCATTGAGGGTGTGACTGACTCGACAGGAACATACAAAATTATGGTGAATGCTGACTGCGGCGATGACATTGCTGATGCGATGCTCGTTAGCAGCCCAGATTCAGAGTGTGCTACACCAGACAAAGGACGTGACCGTGCTCGCGTATTCCTCACCCGATACAATGGCATGAACTCCGACACCCGCATCGCCAATGCCATGGGATTTCTGAAGAATGAGCCTTTGGCTAGTTGCACCCAAGTCCTCCAGAAATACCAGGAAACCGATGAATAGAAAATAATTGGTACTAGCCTTTTTCATATATTATTATGTGTTACCAATGCTGGTTGGTGGTACTATTACTTTGGGCTCTTTGGTTTGATGAGTAATGTATGTTCCATTGTGGAGTTCCTTAATTGTGGCCTCAAATTTGCTTATTGCTTGCTATTCTAGCTAGAGGTGCTTGGTTTATTGGTATGAAACTGATTTTTCACCTTTCATTGAGTTCAAACTGGATGGTAAATTAAGATCTCTCTTGATTTCTACTACAAAATGTTACCTTTTGTCCTTGCTATAAACGGTCGTATTGCTGTGACTTTCCTCCAGAATTTCATACCTCCTAGTAGGCATATGAGGCTGGTGTTGATTTGATTTAGAACATCTACCTTGAAGGCAATCCTTCGGAAGATACATTTTCAAATTCATTTCCCGACCATTTCGCATGAAAAGAGACCAAGGTAAAGCAGAGTTGATCACTCACAGCTTTCAATTCATAGAGATCTACATCTATGAATGAGAATATTTCTGAAACTATCAAAAAAAAAAGTAAGTTAGACAAAAAGAAAAGCAACTTGGACAAAAAAAAGAAAAAGAAGTGACTTGGAGAAAAAGAGATGCAGTGGCTTAGACAAAAATAAATTTGGTTGATGACGTTAGGTCAGTCAATCGAATCTTGATTAATATGTAGTCGATCAAACACTACTTGACCAGAAACGAAAGGTTCCTAGGAAGAACCTCATCAGGAACTGATCTTGACCAAAATCTGAAGAGCAATGTTATATAACTTAAATTTGAGATCTAGGATCATTGAATCTACGGGTCTGATTTAAAAAAGTTGATGAGACTCACTCAGTAAATGATCCTCATTCACTTGAATAGGATGGCATTTGGGATGTAAATTTAGATTACATAAGTATTTTTCAAATCCGAATCAATCCAATTTAAAAGGTTCAATTTTTATTGCATCTTAGAATCAAGTCTATACATTTTCGATCTCATCAAGTTTCAAATTTGAATTCATTTACAGAATAACCCACATAGGCAGTCTAGCATGGGGAGTGAATTTTGTATCGTGATTTAAGATGTCTCGGGTTCAACTTTTGTTGGTACTTTCTATGATTTGCAGATAATTGTAGATTTCAGTTTCACTGTGCATGTAGAAGCTTGATCTGCCCTAGCTGAAATGAGAAGCTTCGCTTGACTCATGACACTATATTCAAGATAACTCATTGTGATGAGATTGGAGAGGCTGAAATCAATGCATGTACTCATCAGAAGGGTTATAAGCCCAACTACAGTGTAATGGCAGAGATTATATGGAAATTACCTCTAAAAAAGTCACGGAGGAGAAAGAAAACGATGTAAGATGACTTAGTAAGAATGCACTCTCTAAATAATTATTAAATCAAATTTCGGATTAATACATATTTATTGACTACCTCCATTATGGTGTTGCTAGTAAATATCACTATTTTTGTTTTGAATCTTCTAAATTATTCTCCCAAGAAATTCGAACCCTTTTTTTTTTTTTTTATGATCTTTCAATAAAACGATTCATTTTCATCACAAAAATAGGACATAGAACCCATGTTTGAATTGTGTATAATTGAGTTTGTGTTGATCCTTTTATTAAGCTGGTTTAGCAGACTATCCAATTTTGTTCTTAGATCACCAAGCTTATACTCATTTTCGCTGTTAATTTTATATTTGAATTACAAATAGTATTAATTAAAAATAAGTGTGAGACTCTTCTCACATCTTAAATGTCTTTCTCCACCCCATTTAACTCTTTTATTTTAAATTGTTAAAACCCACTTCATTTATATCTACTCCATTAAGGAATAAACTTACCCCATCTAAAATAAAAAAACATCTTTAGTAAAAAGTTAAAATAGAGAGTAAATTTTCATATAGAACTCTTTATTCTTACTGGTTTAACATTTTATGCTTCATCTTTTTTGAGAATAAATTTAGCTTAATCCTGTCATTTAGCGTCCATCTCGTTTGACACTTCAACCAAATTTGTATAATCTATTGATCAAAACTATTAATTTAATCTTCCTCGTTAGTCCAATTGCACCTAGTTTGTGAGTCACTGTACATGAAACTAAATGTAAGGGGATCATTTGAAACTAAAGAGTTTGATTCCATCAGTAAAAGCCTATCGTCGGGGTGGTTTCTGAACGCTCTTCTTTGAATCCATCCTTTTTTATTAACCAACAAAAAAAAAAGTGGGAATCACTCCGCATAAAAAAAAAGTGGAATTCACATTGTTCACTTATATAATTATTGGGCGGTTACACCGGAAATTTACTCAAGAAGTAGGGCCACAATTCGACCCAATCCACGTTAAGTCACATAAGAAAGCGGCAAAGGCCCAAGGGCCGAAAACCACAACAACGTGAACAGACGACGTCGCTCCAACCGCTAGTTTTGGCGGACGCCCTGCCAAAGTTCGTTGTCACCGTTGATGAGATCTCTCACCTGCAGGTTCAAAGAAAAAAAAAAAAGATCTCTCACCTGTAAAACCAGACAGAGTTCGAAAGTTGAAGCTCCGAGGATTTATCTCACCAACCGTGACACTGAACGGCCTGTTAGATCAATTTCTCCGTCGAAGTTTGTCGTAAAATCTCCGATTCAGCATTTCTTTCTAGCTCCGTTTGATCTATTTCTCTCTCATTTTTAGCCTTGAAAGGTAAAATTTCTTCACCCTTTTGCTTCAGACTCTTTTGGGTATTTTTTTGATCTTGATGCTTCAACTAAGTTTGACCCCCTTCAATACTGTGTGGTTTGTTTTAGATTCTTTATATGTTTTTTCAGTTTTTTTATCACATGTATATATTTTTATATATGCAACAATCACCGATTTTTAAGTTTGATACTAGTAAGAATAAATCCTTGGACGTATTTCCATTTAATTGAATGTTCCTATGATAAGTGTGTGTGTGTGGTCAATTGATCATGATCTTATTTGTGAAGTATTTTTCCTGCTGGAATGAAATAATCATTTACTATTTAACTTGAAAGGTATTTCATGGAAGTGGTAGTGTCTTTCACCTTTGCACTATATCTAAGAATTGAAGGGGTGTACGTGTACTCATGTTTGTTTTCCGGGACAATGGAATTTTGGTTATGATGTATTTGATTGGTTATCAGAATGGCTGCTGCTTTTAACCAAGCAAATGGAACCAATCTTATCCTTCGGTTTTGCAATGGCTTTGCCTCTCATGAGAAATCTGAGATAATTTCACTTCGTTTTGCGAAAGATGTTGCATTGTTAAGAAAAGGGATTTCTGGCTCTCACCAACAAAAATCGTGTTTAATCCGCGCATCGGCTTCTCATTCATCAGCCCTCAACCCAATTCTATGTAATACTGACAATTCTGCAAGTAAGTTGAATTCTTTGTTTGCATTCTTGGTTTCTCTAATAGAGTTATGAATCGTATTGAATGATATATCATGGTTGTTCTCTGAATTTTAAATCTTAAGGCAACACTTACCTTCAGATGAATCTGCTTTAATTTTGGTTCGACATGGAGAGTCTATGTGGAATGAGAAGAATCTATTCACTGGTTGTGTTGATGTGCCACTGACCAACAGAGGTGTAGGAGAAGCTATTGAAGCTGGTAACAGAATTAGCAATATACCTATTGATATTATATACACATCATCATTGATACGTTCTCAGATGACCGCTATGCTTGCCCTGACCCAACACCGCTGCAAGCAGGTACTTCTGCTTAGGTGTTTTTGCAATTTACACTGATTTAAATGGAGACTTGCCTCTACTCACAAAAAATTTAGGGACTTCACATATATAACACTAAATAGCTAAAGGAATTTTCTTCCCATGGTTTTAGTAATTTTTCCCATATTTTACTTTCTTGTAGCAATAGTGTAGTTTGGATGTTTTCATCTGTTTAGCTAGCTGTTTAAAATTATGTACGAAGAGCTGATGCTGTTGCAATTGGTGCCTGCCGATATTATGATTTTTATAACATAAAGCATGTTTTCATCCCCATTGGAAATCCTTTCCAGCCAATAACCGAAATTTTCTTTCTTTTTTTTTTTTTGGGGGGGGGCAAGTCCAATCATCGAACTTATTTTGAAGAAACTCGTCTTCACCTTCTAACTGTTTAACCATATTCCCAAGAAAAACACACATGCATTTGACATTTGAAGGTCATGTGGTTCAGACAATCTTGATTTGCATCTTGTAGATTTCAAAGAGAGATACATCCACCCCTTAATTTTTTACTGTAAATTGTTTGTCTCCTCGTATTGAATAGAAGTGGTAATCGTGAATAAAACCATTTGTCGGGTTTGATACTGAACCCAATGTATTGGTTTTTAACCCATTTAAGCTTTTCAGGTGCCTGTAGTCATGCATAATGAGAGTGAACAAGCCAGAATATGGAGTCAAATTTATAGTGAAGACACCAAGAGGCAAACCATTCCAGTTGTTAAAGCATGGCAGCTGAACGAACGAATGTAATGTTGAGTCTAGTTTTGTTCTCCCTGTTACACCTTATACTCATGTTTAATTTCTTGCATTATGGAAATTAAGATAATTTCTGCGACAGGTATGGAGACCTACAGGGTCTTAACAAGCAGGAAACAGCTGAAAGATTTGGGAAGGAGCAAGTCCATAGGTGGCGTCGAAGTTATGATGTTCGTCCACCCAATGGTGAGAGCTTGGAAATGTGCTTGGGAAGAGCCGTTGCCTTCTTTAAAGAGAAAGTAAGCATATTTATATGCTCCTTATTTAGTAAGTGTGATTGCAATATGATGCGTACATCGAAGACACAAGAAAGAATCTATAGGATGTTCTCTGTTAACGGAATGTAAGCTTGTTTTGGAAGCATCTGAATATTGAGAAGTATTATTTTACAGATTGAACCCCAACTACTGACTGGAAAGCATGTCATGGTTGTTGCCCATGCAAATTCGCTGAGGTCAATAATTATGTATCTTGACAAATTAACTTCTCAGGAGGTAAAAAATGGTAATTTTTGGTAGGATTGTTAGTCATGCAAAATTTTCTGCTGTTTCTGTTTTTTCAGCTGGGTAATTTTTGATTTCTTTCTAACAGGTTATTAACTTAGAACTGTCCACTGGGGTGCCAATGCTCTACATATATAAAGAGGGGAATTTCATCAGGAGGGGAAGTCCAGTAGGACCTACAGAAGCTGATGTTTATGCTTATACCATGGTACAAATTTTACTCCGTAATCCCTAATGTTCCCGGTTTACTGTCATTTTTCTAAATTTTCAGCCAGTGTGACATTCTGTGTATAACTCTGTCCAATTCAAGGACAATCATAGTATAAAGTAAGAAAGTAATGTTGACACGAGGTTTAGGTCTTGTCTGCAACGCATTATTGAACCAATATCTCTATTCAAATATTCATAGCCCCGGTTTTGGTTACCTAAAGGTTATTAGGGAAGCATTATATTGGCTTGAAAATCCTTACACGTCAGCTGAATTTTGACTATTGCACCTTTCTGGAGTAATGCCGTGAATTATCGCTTTAACTCTCTAATCATGGGAATTGATGTCAAGTATGGTGCCTTGATTTTGATTCAGTTTCTAGTGTTCATAATTTGACCAGACATAGGCAGCGTTGCTTGATCTAAAATGAATGAGAATCTAATATGAGCATTTAGACGCAAGGAAACAAAATCAGCATTGAATTTAAAGTACTTTGCACAGATCAAGGGAATCTTAACTGCTTGGGAAAAAAAATTCATGCAAAATTGGATATATATTCTAACCAAGTTCCACCATTACACCTGTTACTTTGAGTAATATACTTACCCTATATCTTTTTTATTCTTAGTAGGAACAGGTTGCAGCCTATGCTGATAAAAATGGAATGATTTCATTTCTTCTGGACTATGGGTAGTCGCATTTACTTGTCTAGATTTTATATTTTAGGAGTTTTGAAGGGAAAGAACAGGCCAAAAATCGCACAGTATCTTTTTATATATCAAAGGTATGGCATAAAAATATATATGCAAGAAGGGAAGTAAAGGATAAATCTACCCTACCCATGAAACAAGGAAAACTGCAAGTTTGTAGAATATCAGTTTTGTCTTTCGATAGGTGTGTTAGCAAATAAATGTTGACTTCCTTGCTCCTTTAGTAGGTTATACCTTGGACACATATCCTAATTATGCTATTATTTTCTTTCATGTGAATTGTTCTATAATGAGAACTTGAGTAGTGGCATTAAAATAAACATAATATCATCACTCGTATGTATAGTACTGGTGCTCATTTTAATGATTCGCATGCAAAACTGTATCATCTCTGTTCTGGGGAGTTTTGTCAAATTATTGTGCAGTGACATCTAGACCTAAGGTCTAAAAAACTTCAACAGAATTTTATTATTACTGTTTGCCAGAATACTTTTTTGTGCTTTTTGACAACCCACGTAAATGAGCACAAAGCTTTCCTAGAAGGCGAGTAGGGGTCCCAACTGGGTGGGTCACATCTTGATGGAATTATTGTGTGTACAATACTACTGGTTGAAAGTAACTTGAGAGATCTAAGGCATTTTTTAAGTGGACAGCAATGACAAATTACCAATGTAATGCTGCAGTGGAATGAATGTTCTAACCTCTTTACCAGCATGACCTTTTCAATGTTCCATCTAGGAAAGTCGTTTACTTCAAGTTTTTCTTTCAGCAATAACGACCAGTGGACCCATGCAGTATTTTAATTACTGTGTGATATCATACCTTTGTGCAAATTTATCTGGTGTTCTAATCGAATCCTCCAAAAGTTTAAGCAGTGGAAGCAGTTCCTACCTCTTTAATATTCTTCTATATTGTCTTTTCCACCTTATTTTCAAAGTTTTATGTATATCTTTTTTTCAACCTAGTTAGAAATCTGATGACATCTTGGCCGCTATCCAAATTTTCTCTCTCTCTCTGTTNCTCTTTAATATTCTTCTATATTGTCTTTTCCACCTTATTTTCAAAGTTTTATGTATTTCTTTTTTTCAACCCAGTTAGAAATCTGATGACATCTTGGCCGCTATCCAAATTTTCTTTCTCTCTGTNAAAGTTTTATGTATATCTTTTTTTCAACCTAGTTAGAAATCTGATGACATCTTGGCCGCTATCCAAATTTTCTCTCTCTCTCTGTTTTTTTTTGCAGAGTTTGGCCCTTTATAGACAAAAATTAGACGAAATCCCACACTAAAGTATTTGGAAAGAGGTATGCTCTGTTTACTATTTTGGCTGTTTGCTACCGATTACATCTTGGCTTGTCAGAATTATTTATCAGAATATGATGTTTAGTATTTTGATTTGGTGTATACTTGTTTGCACTCGTATGTATGAGAGTCACATGAATAACTCACTAGAAATGGCGGATTCATGCCCTTATCAAATGGGGATTAAGGCTTGTTGAGTTCACTATATATGAGAATTCGTTACATAACATTTAATTAATGGTCTGAAATTGATCAGAACTTGGTATTTTCATTGAGAAAAATCTGTATCATGGCGAATGGCTTGTTATGACTGTCAATCTAGTCTCTCACCTCTAATCTTTTTCAGGGATTCACTATTACTGACAGGTTTCATCCATGTTTGTTCCTTCTCTGGGACTATAAAGTAAAGATGAAACTCTTGTTCTGAAGCAAGTTCTTGCAATACCACAAGGCACAGTCTACACTGGTGGAACAGCAAAGCCTGGTCCATCTTCACTGTGCTTCATGTGAATTGATCAACAAATTTTTTTGGGTGCTCACTGCTCAATGCTAAGTTTCGTTACCCGGAATCAATTACATGTAAATGTCATGGTTAATTCAAGAAGTTGAGTTTCGTTTTTTGTAGCAAATACAATCACCTTCTCATACTTGATGGTCCTATGTTGAAGATTAAATTGTTTCAGTTATATGGGATGTTGGATTCACTATTTCAGAATTAAGATGCCACTATGACATATGTATGAAGAGCATTTCAATAAATCAGAGAATATAAATTGTTTGGAGTACTCTATTTTTAGTGGATAGTTAACTCCCCTTCACAATGCATAAGCCTTTCTTTCTATTTATGAATATGGTTGGTTCGAACTCGCAACCTTAAACTGAGGAGAGAGACAATGAAATTCAAACTCGTTAGGCCCAATGCAAACCTCCTCTCTAATAACTAGAAGGCTTAAGATTTTGATTATTTACAACTTTTCTCCATTTTTGTGGCTATTTTGGCTACTCTATATGGGGAGATTCTTATCCTTTATTTTATTTATGAACTCCAATATGATGTATCTTGTTCTGCTTTATGTTAATTTCCAATCGTTGCATCTCAAAAAAAAAAAAACAAAAAATTATAATTTCGCTTTTTCAAGTGTAAACAATAGTGTGATTACCATGTTTTTATTTTGAAAAGAAAGTCATACTGCCAATAGAAAATTTATTACAACCTAATTCTTCTAAAATTTTATAATAGACAGTAAGAAAGACCTAACCCCTTTTTTATTTTTTTTATTTGATTTTAGTAAGTTGAAATGAGTTTGGTTAATAGCTGGATGTAGTCATTAAAACGCAAATCCATTTACCACGTTAAATAGCTGCTTATATTTTATATTTTGCTCATAAGGCTAAAANTTTTTTTTATTTGATTTTAGTAAGTTGAAATGAGTTTGGTTAATAGCTGGATGTAATCATTAAAACGCAAAACCATTTACCACGTTAAATAGCTGCTTATATTTTATATTTTGCTCATAAGGCTAAAAAGTGTAGGAGAATGATGTCAAACAGATAATACCAACCCAGCCAAAAAAAAAAAAAACAGATAATACTAAGACCTTATACGCATATATCCAGATAATACTAAAAAGAATATGGATCCCCTCAAATGGTACGGTTTTGTGGGTCTACCATGACCCCATCTAACTATGTATAAAAAAAATAATAATTTCATAGCAAGAGGGATTAATAACATTTTCCCTCTATATTTTCTATTATTTTAGAATTTTTAATAATTAAATTAGAGATGAAATATTTCATGCAGTCCCATTTTCCATGTGTCCCGTATAAACACTTCTCCACCCCCCCCCCTCCCCCTAACTATGTAATATTTATATAAATTTAATTNCCCCCCCCCCTCCCACTAACTATGTAATATTTATATAAATTTATTTTTTGGCGGATCATCCACCATCAACAAGTAAAAAACTCACTGGTATATAATAGATTTCACTTGAATTTGTGATAAATGATCTATCAAGAAAGAAACTAAAAAGAAAATATATTATCGAGTATCGCACTCGGTCAGGGTAGATAAACTAGTGTCTCTTATACCATTTCTTCCAGCTAGATACATTGTGGGTGAAGAGCTGTGCTAGCAAAAAATTAATATTAATTATATTGGAGGACCCTAAAGTATAGAGTTGATCTCATTTTGATTCTCAATATTTCAATTATATCATTTTGGTTGCTGAAATATTGAATATATTTTTATGTGATCTCTCAAACAAACAACATCTAAAGTGTTAACGGTTTTTAATCATAAACTTGTCAAGTAATATTTAAATATGGACAAAAAATAATTTGGATAACTCTTGATTAAAAATGTGTAATATGGATAATTTTTGATCAAAATTTAGATCGTTCATGATCAAAATTGTGTAATATAGGTGGCTCTTTGACTAAAATTTGGGTAGCACTTTGACCAAAATTAGGTAAAAATTTGGTCAAGAGTTATCCAATTTTTTTTTTCTATATTTAAGTATTAGTTGAAAAATTTATAATAAAAGATGGTTAATAATCTGGACATTGTCTGTTTGAGGAACCACATAGAAATATATTCAATAATTCAATGATTAAAATAATGTAATTAAAATATTAGATATTAAAATGAGAAAAATCCTATATTTTAAGGACCTCTAGTGTAATTAACCAAAAAAATTATGAAATTTGTATTAACTGTTTAAACCTTGACTTGCTAAGTACTTCTCCGCATATGTTGGCGGAAAAATCTGATCTTATTCAACAGAACACAAACATTACAAAAAAAAAAGAATTAAAAAAAAATACAAAAGAAAATTAAAAAATTCCCAAGAACAAAAATTATATGCAAAACTAACAGGAATTTCTTGCTCTTCTGTGTTGAGGTTACACCATTAATTAATGAATGTTGTCACAGGACGGCGTTCCGATTCCGATGATCCGATCGGTATGACTAAGGCCATCAACACCGCCACCAGCAGTCCCACCACCTCTGAAAACTCCGTCAAGAACGATAAGAAAAAGAAGGTATTAATTAATTTGTTATTATTTTCTTCGCAAAGTCTATTCTTTATCATTATTATCACCTGCATGACCTAAATATTTATATTTATGATTCATTTTTAATATTATGGGATCATGAAGTCTATCATTCCAAAGATTTTTTGTTCCAAGAGAAGAGAAAGTTTAGAAGAGGATTTGTGTCAATCTGATGAAGTTAAACAAGGTTTGTTCATCATCCCTCCTGTCCATATAAAAACTAAAAAAATATATGAATTAAATTACCATTATATTTTCTTGATCATTTTCTATGATTTTATTGCATTGTCTGGGGACACCGAGACAGATTTGGATAGGAATATTATAACAAGGAGGAAAGATTTGTTCGAATCATCTTCCATCATTCGGAAAAGTTTCCCAGGTATTAATGGATCTTATGTATACATGTGTATATATATAACATCATAGAATTGTGTTTGATTAATTTTTTATACTCCATGGCATTGTTCATGTGCATGGCANTTACACCATTAATTAATGAATGTTGTCACAGGACGGCGTTCCGATTCCGATGATCCGATCGGTATGACTAAGGCCATCAACACCGCCACCAGCAGTCCCACCACCTCTGAAAACTCCGTCAAGAACGATAAGAAAAAGAAGGTATTAATTAATTTGTTATTATTTTCTTCGCAAAGTCTATTCTTTATCATTATTATCACCTGCATGACCTAAATATTTATATTTATGATTCATTTTTAATATTATGGGATCATGAAGTCTATCATTCCAAAGATTTTTTGTTCCAAGAGAAGAGAAAGTTTAGAAGAGGATTTGTGTCAATCTGATGAAGTTAAACAAGGTTTGTTCATCATCCCTCCTGTCCATATAAAAACTAAAAAAATATATGAATTAAATTACCATTATATTTTCTTGATCATTTTCTATGATTTTATTGCATTGTCTGGGGACACCGAGACAGATTTGGATAGGAATATTATAACAAGGAGGAAAGATTTGTTCGAATCATCTTCCATCATTCGGAAAAGTTTCCCAGGTATTAATGGATCTTATGTATACATGTGTATATATAAAACATCATAGAATTGTGTTTGATTCATTTTTTATACTCCATGGCATTGTTCATGTGCATGGCAGTATCATATTGTATAATATCTTGTAAATTTTTAAGCTATATATATTTGGTGAGTCAGCTATGTTAATTGAATCTGTGTATGAATGACCAAGATATCAGCTTGGATTAAATCTGTGTATGTAATGTGAGCAAGCCACGTTACCGATGAAACCCGAAGACTTCATCTTCATTTGTCTGCTTGGCTTGTGTGTTTTTGGTAGCTTACCTAACATGAAGACTAAGTTGTATTTTGATTATTGCTAAGAGATTCATAGTATAATGAAGAAATACATTGAAAGGGTAGTTGTTTTTTTTTTCCTGATATTGATGTTGACCTTTATGGTCTTGACTTTGGAAAAAAACATATATATTATGAGAGTTAGGCCATTGAAAATCAAACAATGGTATTAATTTCTTACTACTCTCAGAAAGGCACAGCAGCTCGGCGATTGAAGGGTTAAATCTATTTAGCTTTGATCAGTCTATGGCTCCGGCTACTGTAATTCGAGACATCCGGTAAGGAATACTGTTGTTATATAAGTCAGATTGAAAAGTTTGTCGATTCTATATATTTGGGTCGTGCCATTTTGTATTAACCAACGATGCACCGGGGAGTTGCAGTATCTTTGTTGCAACATGGAATGTGGGAGGGAAGGCTCCAAACCCTGGACTCAACCTGGAGGATTTCTTGCAGGTGGAGGGCTCTTCAGACTTATATGTCTTAGGGTAAACGATACACAGCTTCTATCATTTAAACTTTTTACTCAAGACCCTCTCACCAACCTAATCTCTTGACTTTGCTTCTGCAAAAAATCCGAAGAGGACTTCAATCGAACAGTTCACTTTTAATCATCCCGGCGATTATCTGTTTATATTGGGCCGGCAATGAAATGTCAATAGTTGTAAAAACCATGGAGCCATTTAAACTCGTAGTGATTATGCATGCAAGTTGAACTAGAGACAACTCGACCATTAAGAAGAGATTCGAAAAACAAATTGCATGAACTTATTGAAGCGTTAAAGGGCTGCTTTCATATTAGCCACATCGCATTTGATTGTAAGAGGATAAAACTTTTAAGGTTCAAATGAGTACCCTTCGGAAATGGCTTTTCGTTTGAGAATTGGCATTCTAAAGCTGCAAATCAAATAGGTTATCGTTGTTATGACCCCCTTATAATCGATGCATGTCATCTCAGGGTTTGCTTCCATGTTCTTTCCATAGATCCAAGTGTCAAAAAAAAAGTTTCAAAGGGATCTGTTCAATTGCTAATTTGTAATTTGCAGTGAAAACNACCCTAATCGACAAATGCCAGAAAGAATCATTGATCATGAGTAAGTTTTTTGTCCCTACAATTCTCCCTTAGGAACAATTCGTTATGCAGTTTTATATAATACCACAAATTACGACTGAATAAATGTTGTTACAACTCAATTATAGAATCAAATTATGTTTCTAAAAAATCGATTACGAAGCAATTGACACCAAAGTTACAACTTAGAAAAACTGGGATGAATCCTAAAATCTTAATATTGATCCTAATAATTTAGAATTGAACCGAAATGATTGCATTTTTGCAATTGATTCATAATCTCATCCCAAGTTTTGGTATGATCCTGATAAACAACCCTTCATTACCATAGTCTTTCCTAGCTCGACAATACGANGCAAAATGAAATAATCCTCCTGAATCTTTCAGGTTTCAAGAAATTGTTCCGTTGAGCGCCGGAAACATTCTGGTGATTGAAGACAATGAACCAGCAGCAAGATGGCTAGCCCTCATAAGCCAGGCACTCAACAAACCACACCATGATTCTTCCATCCATTCTTATGATTCAGGCTCAGTTTCAAAACACTCAAACAATTCAACTGAATCGAAATCCAACTTCTTCCACAAGCCCTCTCTCAAAGTCCTCAGCAAAAATCTGAGGGGAGAAACTTCCCTTCTCAAGGCCTGCAACTGCCCTCTCGACTCCCCGGACTCGATCAGGCACCGGAGACCAAGAAAACTGATGAGTGAATCCTTCAGCTCTCCGATGGAGCGTCATGGTTCTAATATAGATGATCACTTTCTTTCAATTGCAGAGATTGATGATCCACCACCTAACCAGTTGAGTTATAGACTCATAGAAAGTAAACAAATGGTGGGGATTTTCCTTTCTGTTTGGGCTAGAAAAGAACTTGTTCAACATATTGGACATCTCAGAATTTCATCTCTTGGAAGAGGAATCATGGGCTGTCTTGGCAACAAGGTCAGCTGAAAAAGTTACTATGTGCTTATGCTCTTTAATTGAACCACTTACATAGTAATGATGGAGGGTGCAATTAAATTCCCCCCAACCACCATCATAAAAATGAAATCGCTAGAAATTCTGTTAAAAATAAAATTCAATCATTTTTAATATAATACCATGTGAAAATGTTTTGTACACCTTTGTACTACATATTATATTGTTATTTTTCCTCCCTCTTCAATAAATCAGTTTCTCTCATTTTCTCTTAGTGTAAGAGTTATGTAAGTTTTTAAAGTTTGTGGAATTAGTGGCAGTAGGTCAAACTACAGGAAATAAATCATCATTATCGATGACTTGGAGCATTATTTTGAAATTGGATTTTGTCTTGTCAGCCAATTTTTGTTTATGCATTTTGAGAGGGCTTAATATTTCNAAATCATCATTATCGATGACTTGGAGCATTATTTTGAAATTGGATTTTGTCTTGTCGACCAATTTTTGTATATGCATTTTGAGAGGGCTTAATATTGCAGGGTTGTATAGCTATAAGCTTGTCATTGCACCAAACAAGCTTTTGCTTCGTTTGCAGTCACCTAGCTTCTGGGGAGAAGGAAGGAGATGAGCTGAAAAGGAATGCTGATGTTGCTGAGATCCTCAAGAGCACACAGTTTCCCAGGGTCTGCAAGAACCCTAATCGACAAATGCCAGAAAGAATCATTGATCATGAGTAAGTTTTTTGTCCCTACAATTCTCCCTTAGGAACAATTCGTTATGCAGTTTTATATAATACCACAAATTACGACTGAATAAATGTTGTTACAACTCAATTATAGAATCAAATTATGTTTCTAAAAAATCGATTACGAAGCAATTGACACCAAAGTTACAACTTAGAAAAACTGGGATGAATCCTAAAATCTTAATATTGATCCTAATAANAATGACATAATTGAAACAATAAACATTAAAAAATGAGACGGAAAGTATACTTTAGACACCATTCCTATATTTTACAGAATATTATGGCGTGGCAATGTCATTGAACGTATATTTGAGAAATTATTACTATATTTTGCCCTTATTTTTTGTTATCGAATAATTTTCAGGTGTGACAGGATATTATGGCGTGGCAGTGGCATTGAACAACTATCTTATATACGAGGAGAATCAAGATTTTCAGATCACAGACCAGTGTGTGGTGTGTTTGCAGTGGAGGTGGAGACGAAGAACAAAGCCACCAAGTTTAGGAAGGGTTTCTCTTGCCCCGCCACAGCAATGGACTACGAAAATTTCATACCACAAAGACATAGCTTTTATGAGTTTTGATTAAATCCTCAAAAATCTTAAGAGGAAAAAAAAGAAAGAGCCTCTTGTGTCATCTCTCAACAATAATCTTTCACTCTCTCCTATTTTTTCTTTTTTCATAAATAATGCTCAATATATTATAAATATATAACCAATTATCTGATACAGGGTGTTAGTTGAGTCCTAATCGTGTCATGTTTAGGTTAGATCGTTTTGAGTTTGTATGCATGTTTGAGTCGTATTATTTTGGGCTGGAATTATGTTTGTCTAATTTGCCAATGGGTCTGTCTTTCTATCGACCATTCCACCACACATAATTTTTCCAAAGAAATAAAATTTTATTAAAGTAATTTAATTTCATAGTAATTCAAATAATACAAGACCAAGATTTAAAGAAATTAAAATAAAAGACAGTATGTTTTATGCTTACAATACGATATAAAGGAGTCTATCGTGACAAAATTGGGGTTTTCATTTTGACATTGTCTCAGCCAAATAATCATTCACATTAACAATTATTCGCGAATGAGTTATCACTTTATCCACATGTTATTGTTGAGTTATTATTTGACAGTTATATCACGTGTCAATGTTGATGTGGAGTAACCATTGCAATGAATATTTTCTCCTCATTACGGACCACCATATTAAGCAACAAAATTTGTATCAACCAGTCTCAAAAATTAACGGTCTCATTATGGTCGTTATGATTGGGAACTTTTTGGGTATAAAATATAAATCACATTTTAAAAAAAAAATTATTTCTACTACAAACGTTTCCAAAATGAAAAATGGTAAGTGTCACTCTATTTTAGCTACTTTAAAAATAAGTTAAGTTGCAACTTGAACTAGTGGTCTAATAGTAAGTCATACACGTTTAAGATTGTCATTAACTTTCATGTGGTTATCAAGTTGGGTTAGTTATTTGGCTTTAGTGGTATTGTAGTGATGGTTGCCCATCTGGGTTAGTTATGGTTCAAACTAAACATTCTACAGTAGGAGATTCTTATAGTCAAATTCAGAGGGAGTTATCCCCACTATAAAATGTCCGATTTTAATCATAATTATTAACTTGAAAGGACAATTCGTCATCACAGTACCACTAAAGTAAAACAACAAATTCCGTTACTCCTATAAATTGAATTCTGTTTGATAATCACAAAAGAGTCAATGACAATTCTAAACGAACACAACTTACCATTCGACCACTTACTCATGTGTTACTAAGAATATAGCTCATGTGGTATGATAGAATATATTAGGTGAAGTGAAGTTGTCATGATCTGCCTACCATTAGGAAATAAAGTGTCTAGCATAGTGTAAGTAGCATCAGTGAGGCCACCCATGACTCAACTACTAAATTGGTACTTTTAACATTCTTTAGGAATGAGTCGAAGTCNTATCCTCAACGGAAGGAGGAGGTTGGAGAGCTCTTCATGAAACGTGGTCAAAGATAGGATCGTTTTCTTCGATGGTACAGATAAGCTTCTCGTGCTCTCCTCTTGGTGACGTGCTAAGCAAGAAGTCTAACCGGCCTTGGACTGTCTTGGACTTGGTGGATTTGGACCGTTTCCTTTGGCGGTGCAGATAAGCTTCTCATGCTCTCCTCTCGATGACGTGCTAAGCAAGAAGTCTAACCGGTCTTGGACTTGGTGGATTTGGACCGTTTCCTTTGGTGGTGCAGATAAGCTTCCCGTGCTCTCCTCTTGATGACGTGCTAAGCAAGAAGTCTAACCGGCCTTGGACTGTCTTGGACTTGGTGGATTTGGACCGTTTCCTTTGGTGGTGCAGATAAGCTTCCCGTGCTCTCCTCTTGGTGACGTGCTAAGCAAGAAGTCTAACCGGCCTTGGGCTGTCTTGGACTTGGTGGATTTGGACCGTTTCCTTTGGTGGTGCAGATAAGCTTCCCGTGCTCTCTTCTTGATGACGTGCTAAGCAAGAAGTCTAACCGGTCTTGGACTGTCTTGGGCTTGGTGGAATCAAAATGAGGTTGGGCTCCTCAACTGGGGTTGGACTTTAACACATAAATTGGATCATTTGGGCTTAACCCATCATTTGCCCCCCAATGCCCCATGTCTAAGGAGACTTGGAGAAGGAGGCATTGATTTTATTTTATTTTATTTTTTATTTTTTATTTTATTTTATTTTATTTTATTATTTTTTTTTCAAGTCTTTTTCATTTTATTTTAAAGAAGGCCCATAATATTCTGTTTGGCCTTTTTGTTTTGAAAATGACTTATAACTTTCTTTTTGGCCACTTTATTTTGAAGACAGCCCATAATTTTCTATTTGTCCACTTTATTTTGAAGAGGGCCCATAATATTCTATTTGAGCTTTTTTTCTCTTTTTGAAAAATCCTAGACTATAAATATAGTCTTCTTCTTCATGTTACCCATTTCACTNTTGCAGGTTAATTTTTATTCAATTTTTTTTCTCTCCCCCCTCTCGCTCTCTGTTTCCCCCTAAAGCCATATCCATTTATCCGTCATTTTCTTTTTTTATTCGTTCTTTGTTTTCCTTCATTTTCGATCTTTGTCTCTCCTCCATGTTTCTCTGACTCCGACGACTGTTTGTGTTATTCCATAGGTATCTTCAAATGCATCTATATCGAAAGTGATACATTTATTGCAATTCAATAAAGCTGTGGGAACATAAAGAGAGGGAATTTCACCCTAATCAGTTACCTTCATTTTGTATCTTTTGTACAAGGCAACATTTTATGTATTTGTGTTTGGGGGTGGTATGTATAAGGCAACACAACTATATCTATATAATTACGTTATTTTGACTATTATATAATATTCTATTGTATTCATGATATGTGACAATCATAATGTGTTGTTTGGTTTGAAACACAACACGGTAACATCAAGTATTTTTGTCTTATAGTGTGTGGTGTAACATTAATACAAGAAATAAACTTTGTTCGATTTTGTATTTTTAAACCAATGGAACAAACATTATTAAAATATTATAATTTTTTTAACACTTTTGATAATATACTAAATCATAATTTTGCTTTCAAGTAAGTATAACTTATGGTGCAGGGTTATGAGCTGTTTGTTTATAAGATTCTGATTTGAGTCTGATTCTTTAGTATTAGTGAATTCTATATTGGGTAGATGTGGTTGTGCTTGGCCTTTTCTGAATTTTTTAAAGCAGATTAGGGCCTTGCTGAGTCAAGTGGACTTTTAGAAGAGCATGTGCACAAAGAAGCAAACAATGTTGTTGACAGATTGCCAAATCAGGCTTTGCAGGATAGGGTTTCTGTGGATTTTTCTATTCTATGAAGCTTCCTAGAGCTGTGAAGATGGTTTTGATTCAGGATTTAAGGAAGTTGCTTGTGTTAAGAAACAGGAGAATGGTGGCCTTTGATGATAAGGGTTGAATTTTGGCATTGTAGTAGTCTGTTCTGCTACTACTTATGTAGCCAGTCTGTCTTTTGTTGCAACTGGTTTAGGAGCTTTGGCCTTTGTCTGTTCAGCTCATTTGAGAGGGGCTAGGTGATGTAGTAGCTGTACAGGCTTTGGTGACGTGATTGAGATTTTAATGATTGATTGTTTTGAGAATGGCACTTGGACCTTTCTCAGGTTGATTCTTATAATTGATTTGTTTTTGGAATAAATTTTTTTTTATAAGTAGAACTTAATAAGATATTATTCATTGTTTCCAAAAAGCTACTTATCCAAACTAATTTTACCCACCATACCTAACCATCCAAACTTGGTACAGGATTGGATTAAATTTTTTTGCAAAGGGTACAATGGTCATTTCATTTATATTTAGTTGGACAAGTACATGGGACCGACAGTTTCCATTAATTCTATACAAATCAAGTACTGTATTGGATAGTGTTGATTGGATCTAACTTAATCAAAACTGATGATGCACAAAAATGGTTTTGCACACCACTCGTCAAGTGTAGATAATAAATGTAATGAAATCAATGAAAAAATTGAAGAAGACACAATTTATAGTGGTTCGGTCAATTCGACCTACGTCCACTCTTCAATGGCTTCAGTTGCCGGGTATTTTATTGATTCAAAGGTATGGAGAATGGAGATACAAGCTTTGAGAGAGAGAATGGAGAATCAAAGAAAAATTGTAATATCCGGTAGTCGGTTCGTCCTCTGTATGTCTCTGGTGGGGCGTGATCTCCTTCTTCTACCAGATTGGAGCTATTTTATAGCAGCTAAGAGATCATCCTCCTGGAGATCATGACATATCCTCAAGGCTTCTTTATCGCAGCTAA